CAGAAACATCTAAGAGACAAATAGAAGTTATCCAGCTTTGAAAGAGCATTTAGGTGAAAGATGGTACAATTGCCCCCTGAATCTAGCATCCCTGGATTCAATAAACCTTAGATAGAAAATGTTAAGTTAGGGGCCAGCAGGAGGCATGGTGGGTGGTTAAGGTGTTGGAATTCTCACATGGCCAACTGTGGTTCGAGTCCTGGACCAGTTGCCTTGCTTTCTAACTCTCCCTCTCTTTCATTCTCTGGCAAAACTCATGTGAGGAAAAAAAAATAGTAATAATTAATAAATAAGCATACAAACAAACAAATTATTATTTTTTTTGGAGAGGTTTTCGCTATAGGACGCCTGCGCTCGCCAAACAGACAGAGAGAGACAGAGAGACAGAAAGCGAGAAATCACCCCCCAGGGGGGATGGTCACGCCGCAATCCCTTCTCCATTCTCCTCTCAAAAAAACAATCCCTTCTCCATTCTCCTCTCGGGATCTTGGGCACGCACGCACACGCGCCCTGCGTGAGTCTTAAGCCACCGGATCTGGGACGCAAACCATGGTCGACTACGTGGGAGTTCAGCAACATAGGCATTACGCTAACTGCTGGTTCCCCAAACAAACAAATTCTTAAAAAAAAAAAAAAGAAAAGAAAATTTTAAGTTATGGGACTGGCAGTTGGCATAGTGCTGGACTCCTGCATGGCTCCATGGTTGACCACAGTTCGAGTCCCGGACTTGGCAACTTGGGTTCTCACTTTCTCTCTTTCTCTGGTTAAATTAAATTTAAATAAATAAATAAATAAGTAAAATAAAATAATTTTAATAGAGATTTTTGCTATAAGGGTGCATGTGATTGCCAGAGAGACAGAAAGCGAGAAATCATCCCCCAGGGAAGATGACCATGCAGCAATCCCTTTCTCCTCTTGGGATTTTGGGAATGAATGCACATATGCACAGTTTATTTATTTATTTATTTATTTTGTGGAGGTTTTTGCTATAGGGTGCGTGCACTCGCCAGAAAGACAGAGAGAGATAGAGAGACAGAAAGTGAGAAATCACACCCCAGGGGGATGACCACCCTGAAATTCCTTCTCCTCCATTCCCCTCTCAGGATCTTGGGCACTCACACACACTCGCCTGGCGTGAATTTAAGACACCAGGTCTGGGGCTCAAACTGTGGTCGACTACATGGGAGTTCAGCGACATAGCCATTACGCTGCTAGTGTCCCACACAGTGTGTTTTAAGCTGCCAGGTCTGGGACTCGAACCATGGTTGACTATGTGGTAGTCCTGTGGTGTAACCATTATGCCACCTGCTGGTCTCATAAGTAATTCTTTAATTTTTTAAAAGTAAGTGTTAAGTTGTTACTGATGTACACTATACAGTTAGAGCTCTGGTTATTACATTGATACTGAACGAGGATAGACTTTCCTTGTCATTGTTTTCAAAACTGTAACAACTACTTATATATGATTTATATGCTAGGTTTTATAAATCAACTAGAGATAATTTAAAGTTCATGGGAAGATATACATAGGTTTTATGAAATATTACGCCATTTTATATAAGGGACTTAAGCATTCACAGATCTGCAAGGGAATTAAATTCTCATTAAAATAGAGGGGCATCTATATTCCATTTAGAGTGAAAGCAGCACTTTTTTTTTTGAAAGAGATTTTTGCTATAGGGTGCATGCATTTGCCTGTAAAACAAGAGACAGAAAGTGAGAAATTATCCTCCCAGGGGAGATGACCACACTGCATTTCTTTTCTTCCACTCTCCTCTCCCGATCTTGGGCATGCACACACATGCCCAGTGTGAGTAATAAGCTGTGGGTCTGGGACTGGAACCGCGGTTGAGTGCGTGGGAGTCCAGTGACATACCACCCATGTGCTGGTCCCGCAACATCCTTTAAAAAAAAAAAGTTATTTAATCTTATTTATTATTATTATTGTCTTTTAAATTTTGGTATAAGGCACATATGCTCACGAGAGAGAGAACGAGAGAATAAGAAAGCAAGGCGCCATGTCTGGAACTCGAGCCATGGTCCACTATGTAGGAGTCCAGAACCTTTACCACCATGCCACCTGCTGGCCTGAAAGCAACACCTTTGAAGGCTCTGAAAGGGGAATGAATTTTGGAGTATTTAAAAGGTGATGTGGTGGTTAATGTGCTGGACACTCCCACATGGCTGACCATGGTTCATGTTCTGGACTTGGTAGGTTGCTTTCTCACTTTCTCTCTCTCACTGGCTGATCAAACTGGAAAATAATAAATAAAGTTATACTGCAATTCTTAAAGAAAATGCAGTATTGCCCAGAGATGGGGATGTTGAAAGGGAGAGAAGCTTGTGATAAGGTCGTGGGGTAGAGGGGGTGGGTGGGATACTACACCATAGAAGAGTTTTAAAAGGGCAATGGCATATTCAATTTTTTTTTTTCCCCTTAAGGCGTATGCTTGAGGGAGAGTGAGAGAGGAAAAATGAGAAATCACCCCCTGGAGGGATGTCATCCCGCAGTCCCTCCTCCTCTACTCTCATCTTGGGATTTGGGGCATGCATGTACATGTACCTCGCATGATTTTCAAGGCTCTGGGTCTAGCATGTGAAACATGGTCAGCTATGTCAGAGTCCAGTTCCTTAACCACCATACCACCTGCTGGCCCCTGGATTTGCAATTTTTTTAAAGAATTATTTTATTTACTTATTTATTTTAATTTGACCAGAGAGGGATACAGAGAGAGAGAGAGAGAGAGAGAGAGAGAAAGTGAGAAAGCAAGCCGCCAGGTCTGGGACTGGAACCAAGGTCGGCCATGTGGGAGTCCGGTGCCCTTAACCACCACACCACCTGCGGGCCCCTGGATTTGCATTTTTGAAGTTCACTCTGTTGTTATGGAAAGTTCACTGTAGATTGGTGGAAGTCAGTTAAGAGTGACTATTTAGAAGATCCCTAATGTGATCCTGATGAAAGATGATGGCTTACAGTAGTGGAATTATGGAAATGGAAAGAGGTAGTCAGATCACATTAATATTTAGGAGGGAGGAGAGGGGCAAATATGGTGGTTTATCAATGTGGTTTAGGATTAGGACATGAAGTTTAAAGATTATATCTAGGTAGCTTACATGAGCAATGTGTGGTTGAAAGTATCATTACAAAAACAGGGAAGAGCTGCAGGAACTCTGATAAATCTTGAACAGGGTATTAAATGTCTACATAGGTTAGGAAATTTTATATCTATATCCGAGGATTGATCTGAATAGGAATAAAATTTGGGAATCTTTGGCATACACTTGTAACTTGGTCGCTGATTAAAATTTTAGGCAATGGATGAGATTGCCTATTGTTTCACATGAAGTCAGGCATCTTAGGGCCAGCCACAGAGCATGTTGGTTAAGGCTGTCGGATGAATTCCACATGGCTGACTGCGCAGTTGAGATTCAGGTCTGAACCCCTTGGCTTGGAATCCATATCTGGCACGTATGTGTGTATACCCAAAATCCTGAGAGGAGAATGGAAGAGAAGGGATTGCAGTGTGTCATCCCTTCTGGGGGTGCTGTCTCACTTTCTTCCGCCCTCACTTTCGCTTTGAGCACACATGCCCCGTAACATAAAATTTAAAAAAAAAGGGCCAACAGGTGGCAGGGTGATTGGGGTGCTGGACTCCCACATGGCCTACAGTAGTTGGGGACCAGCAGGTGGCGTGAAAGGTGCTGGACAGTCCCACATGGCCAACCATGGTTTGAATCCTGGACTTGGTGGCTTGCTTTCTTGCTTTCTCTCTCTGTATCTGTCTCTGGTCAGATTAAAATGAATGAATGAATAAATAAAATTAAATACGTAATTATTTAAAAAAAATTTAAAAAAAAAAGGCATCTTAGACCAGAGCCTGGAGGAAGTAGAATTAAACTTGGGTAAGGTAATCAAAAAGGTGCTGCCAAAAGGTAAGAGAAAAATTAGGAACATGAAATACCAGAAGACAAAACGTACAGGTTCTTGGGGACAGCTGGTAGCTTGGTGGTTAAGGTGCAGGATACTCCTGCATGGCCAACCATGGTTCAAGGCCTGGACCTGGTGGCTTGCTTTCTCACTTTTTGTCTCTTCTCTCTCTCTGGTCAAATTAAAATAAAATGAATGAATAGATAAAAATAAATAATTCTTTAAAATTTTTTTAAAAAGTTCTTATGACTTGTGTTTCATGTACGTCATCTCTATTTCCTAACTCTTTTCCTTTGTAACTTACTTACGTTAACTGTATTGTATGGTGAAAAACCTCCTTTGGGAACGAGATAGGATATAAATAATAATTACTCAGTTGTGACTACTGGGAACATATTCTTCACAGTAAAACAGTACACTGAAACTTAATTCTCTTTATTGTTTTTATAATTATATCTGTCCTCTAAACAATAGTCGAAAGAAACGATAGTGTTAGCTCTGTGTTTATTTTTGGTTTTAAATTCTGAAAGGGTAAGGGATGCATAGTAATTTTTGAGTACTATTGCGGATAACAGTAAGGGTGACTAGAATAATTTGACAGGTTTCTTGCTTCTAGAAGGGAGGTCAGCACATGTGAGATCATGCTTTGGCTCTTAAATAATAATTCTAAATTATTGAGTTTGACTCTTTGGTTTAGGAAAAACCAGACCTACTTAACTACAAGAATTAACCCTAGCCGATCTTAGATAGAAAATAGAGATACAGGCTACTGTTAAAAAACCTTTCCCCAGTCTTATACAGTCCTATGTGGAGAAGATCTATTTGTTTTTATTGATGTAAGATTAAAAAAAATAGTTGTGGTAGGAGTTTAAAAGTTACAATGTACTTTTGAAAAAGTCATTAATTATCTGGTGCTCTGAGGAGCAGGTGAGAATTATTTGTGAGGAATGTTTTGAAATATTATTGGTGACATCTAGCACCAAGGCTTCTCCTACATTTTCAGTAGAATTGCAGGGGAGATGTTATACTCCTTGTAATCTGAAACATTTAATTTCTTCCTTTTCTTTTATAGAGATGTGAACTGTGTCCTCATAAGGATGGAGCTTTAAAAAGAACAGATAATGGGGGTAAGTGCAGAGATTGTTAAAAAAAATACATTTTATTGAAAATTAAGAAGGTGGAGTGTTGGGGCTAGCAAATGGTGTGGAGGTTAAGGTGCTGAATTCCCACATGGCCAGCAGTAGACCTGATGGCTTAAAAAAAAATCACATCAAAAAAATAAATAAATAAATAAAATGTTGTAGTGTTTAAACATACCTGGTCATTCATAGAATTTTTATTGGATTAAATAGTTTAGTATAGACGTGTGTGTGTGTGTATATATATATATGTGTGTGTGTGTGTATATATACATACATATTTAAGGTTTTTTTTTTTTTTTTGGAAAGGTTTACATTTTAGTGTTTTTTTTTTTTTTTTTTTGGGAAAGGTTTTTGCTATAGGGCGCATGTGCTCTCCAGTAAGACAGAGACAGAAAGCAAGAAATCACCCCCCGGGGGGATGGTCATACCGCAATCCCTTCTCCTCCATTCTCCTCTCGGGATCTTGGACACGCACGCACACGCACCCAGCGTGAGTTTAAGCCACCGGGTCTGGGACTCTAACTGTAGTCGACTATGTGGGAGTCCACCGACATAGCCATTAAGCTAACTGCTGGTCCCCGCATGTTTAAGGTTTTTGCCATAGGTTTTTGCACACTTTCCAGGGAGAGACAGTGAGAGGGAAAGTGAGAAATCACTCCCTGCACCAACCACCCCCCCTCCCCGGGATGGCCATGCTGCAATCCCTTTTATCTATTCTAAGGGGTTTTGGGTACATGCACACCCAAGCTTGACGTGATTTTCATGCTGCCAGGTGCTGGACTTGAACTGCAGTTGGCCATGTAGGAGTCCAGTGCTGCAACCCAGTATGCCACCTGCTGACCACTTATTACAGAAATAGTTTTGACAGTAGTGAATGTAATATATAAACTCCTTTTTGTGTTGACACACAATTTTTTTAATTTTGTAGATAAACTTAAGAAGGCTCCCCCTTTTATTTATCTCTAGACATACTAATTTTCATACTTTCACTTATCTGCCTGAGAGAGGTCCATGTCTTTACACATCATACCACTCTTTTTTTTTTTTTTTTTTTAAGAGGTTTTTGCTATAGGGCGCCTGCGCTCGCCAGACAGACAGAGACAGAGAGATAGAAAGCAAGAAATCACCCCCCAGGGGGATGGCCATGCCGCAGTCCTTCTCCTCCATTCTCCTCTCGGGATCTTGGACACGCATGCACACGCGTCTGTTGTGAGTTTTAAGCCACTGGGTCCGGGACGTGAACCGCAGTCGACTATGTGGTGGGAGTCCAGCAACATAGCCATTACGCTAACTGCTGGTCCCTCATACAACTCTTAAATATAATTTTTTTCCTTTTTTTTTTTTTTTTTTTCCAAAAGGACATGTGTGTTTCCTAGACACATACGGAGAGAGAGAGAGAGAGGGAGAAAGCACCTCCCAGTGGGTTGTAGGGGTGGTCATGCTGCAATCACTTCTCTTCCATTTCTCCTCTGGGCATGCATGCACAGGCACTCAGTGTGTTTTAGGCCACCGGGGCCAGGATTTAAACCTTGCCAGTGGCCATGTGGATTCTCTTAACCTCTAGGCCATGGAGCTGGCCTCATTTCTTAAATATGTAGTCATTAATTTATTACACTATGACAGTACTGTGGAAATTAAATAACTGATGAGGAAACTGAACAAAATAAAGGTATAATTAACTACTGTTAGTATACTCTTTTTCATCTTGAGCAGCTAACTGAAATGAAAGTTGGTTTCTTTGGGGGATTGGTTTTAAAGCCCCCCCTTCCCCTTGGATATCAAAATCCATGAATGCTCTGGTCCATTGTATAAAATTGTATAGCATTTGCATATAACCTATGTATATTCTTTATATTTTAAGTCATGTAATCTTAGCATCAGATATAAATAAAAAGAAAAATAGGTAGATAAATTTCTTCAGTATCTCTCTTAGGGAGCTATCTATTCCCTGTATCATAACAATTGGTGTGACCTGACCTCATCTGTAGTTGCTTGAATCTGTGTATGAGAAACCTGTGGATATGGAAGGCCAAACATACTTTTGGCATAGGAAGGATAAAATACAGCATTCCTGGCTATCTATTTTTTTGTTTTGTTTTATAACTTTAATTTGAAAACCAGCAGTTAGTTCTCATCCACATTGCCTGTAGATTTTTGAAAGTGGTAACAGGTACATAGGTCACCAGAGTACAGAGCTTGTTGGGTGAATCTTCATCCTCATTTAGTTTTCTGGACAACTGCACATGGATTCCATGTGGGACGTTCCTTATTGCTTTGGCCCAAGATGGCTTTGTTGAGCCTGGTTACCAATGCGTACATCTGGAGTCCCCATCTTCTTCATGGCAGATTTCTGGATTTCTTTGAGTGCTGGAGGGGCATGCTTCTTGAAGCCCACATTATGGATGCACTTGTGAATGTTGAAGGTGTATTCCCGGGTCACCACCTCATTGATGGCACAATGGCCCTTCTTGCCACCCTTCTTTGTGGGAGCCATTCTGCCCGGCCTAAGTTGGAAAGAAAGAGTGCAAAGGATTGTGGAAGCCCTGGCTATCTGTATTTTACTTACTTATTATTATTTGAGATATTTTTGCCTTAGTGCATGTGTGCTCACCAGAGAGAGACAGAGATAGTGAGAGGGAAAGTGAGAAATCATCCTCTGTGGAGGATGGCCACGCCACAATACCTTTTCCTCTACTCTCTTCTCAGGATCTTGAGCAAACACACATATGCACCTGGAGTGATTTTCTTTTCTTTTCTTTTCTTTTCTTTTTTTTAAAGAATTATTTATTTATTTAATCTTATTTGTTATTGTTAGTTTTTTTCAGTTGACCACCAGAGAGACAGAGAGAGAGAAAGGGGAAGGGAAAGCGAGAAAGCAAGCCACCAGGTCCAGGACTTGAACCATTGTCGGCCATGTAGGAATCCAGCGCCCTTATCCACCACATCGCCTACTGGCCCCCGTACCTGGCATGATTTTCAAGCCTCTGAGTCCGGGACTTGAACTGCGGTTGGCCATGTGGGAGTCCAGCAATGTAACCATTATGCCATCTACTGGCCCTTATTATTTTTTAACATTTTAAAGTGTTTTTGCCTTAGGGGTATATATATGTTCCCCCGAGAAAGACAGAAAGGAGAGGGAGAAAGCACTCTTCATTAGTGTGCGGTGAAATCACAATATCGTCTCCTGTTTCTCCATCTTGTTGGGATTTGGGGCATGCACACACAGCTAATGCCTTTTTATATTTTAAATGAAATATTTTGACTATGTTGTACAGCTATATTGCCCAGAAATTTTTTTTTTTTTGGAGAAGTTTTCGCTATAGGGCGTGTGCGCTCCTCAGACAGACAGAGACAGAGAGACAGAAAGTGAGAAATCACCCCCCAGGGGGGATGATCACACCGCAATCCCTTCTCCTCCATTCTCCTCTCGGGATCTTGGGCACACACGCACATGCGCCCGGCGTGAGTTCTAAGCCACCGGGGCCGGGACACGAACCGCGGTCGACCACGTGGGAGTCCAGCGACATAGCCATTACGTTAACTGCTGGTCCCCTTGCCCAGAAAATTTTTAAAATAATTACTTATTTTTTATTATTTTTCAATGTGACAAGAGTGAGAGGGAGAGAGAGAGGGAGGGAAATGAGAAAGGAAGCTGCCAGGTCTGGCACTTGAGCCGTGGTCAGCCATGTGGGAGTCCAGCACCTTAATTACCACACGACCTGCTGACCCCCCAATTTAGAAATTAATATTAACCCTCTTTATCACTATTTTCTTGCATATTTTTGTAGGTTTCTTTTACATGTATATAAGTGAATAGAAAAATATATACTTATTTTCCAATTTAATACAAATGGGTGAATATTATACTTCTGCATTTAAATTTATTTCACTAAAACACCGTATCATTCTGTTATCTGTGTAGAGGTTTTGTTTTTCCCATATGTTATGTTATGTGGCCTGTCACTTATTGATGGACTTCGTAATCTTTTGCTTTTGTGACTAATGCTTATATATATGTCATTTATTGTATGCAGTGTATCTGTAAGATTATTAATTGTCAGAAGTGGGACAGTTGAGTTGAAAGGATTTTTCATGTATGTTTCCAAATTATTTTCTCTGGTAGTTGTATCAATTTATGTTTTCAGCAGCAATGAATGAGAAAGTTATTCTTTTTCTTCTTTTTTTAAAAAATAATTGTTTTATTTAACTTTAGTTATTTATTTTAATTTGACCAGAGAAGGACAGAGTGAGTGAGTGAGTGAAAGAGAGAGAGGGAGAAAATGAGAAAGCAAAACTGTCAAGTCTGAGACTTGAACCACAGGTGGCCATGTGGGAGTCCAGTGCCCTTTAACCACGATGCCACCTGCCAGCCCCAGAGAAAGTTATTCTTTATAGCCTTGGTAATCTAAGGTATCACAGAACAATAATTTTTATCTTATTATGAGTGAAGTTAAGCATCTTTACGTATCTGAAGAATAATTTGTTTTATTTCTTTTGTGGTCTGTTCATATACTTCCTCAATTTCCTTGTTGTTGTTTTTCTATTTTATTTGTTGGAGCCTTTATAGGAGCCAAACATATATTGTACTTTTTTTTTTGATAAGTTAGACTATTTTTTGCCCATTTGTTAGACTTTGTGTATGGGATGTTTTATTATGTGGAGCTTTTTGATTTTTATTTAGCCAGGGGTTTATTAATGTCTTTCTTTTTTAGAAAGAATCATTTTATTTAACTTTATTTATTATTATTATTTTCCAGTTTGATCAGAGAGAGGAAAAGAGAGAAAAAAAAAAGAGGGGGGGAGGGATAGTGAGAAAGCAAGCCACCCAGGTCCGGGACTTGAACTGCAGTGGGCCATGTGGGCATCTAGTGTCATCTCCTGGCCCCATTAATGTCTTTCATGGCTTTTGTATTTTGAATGATTAGTTAGAAAGGTCTTATCTTTTTTTAGAGAGATTTTTGCTATCTGGCACATGTGCTTGCCAT